AAGCCTAGACTACTGGCTGCATGAGAAGACTGATGGAGCATCCCAACTTGACTGGCCAACTCGGCTGAAGATTGCACAGGGAGCAAGCTGTGGGCTGGCTTACATGCACCAGATATGCGAACCACATATCGTGCATCGTGACATAAAATCCAGCAACATCCTCCTCGATGAAAACTTCAAAGCACATGTAGCAGACTTTGGCCTGTCCAGATTGATCCTTCCTTACCAGACTCATGTCACCACTGAACTAGTGGGCACCCTGGGCTACATTCCCCCAGAGTACAGCCAATCCTGGATTGCCACTTTCAGGGGTGATGTCTACAGTTTTGGAGTTGTCATGCTTGAGTTACTGACTGGCAAGAGACCTGTGGAAGTATGCAAACCCAGGATGTCACTTTCAAGAGAATTAGTGGTCTGGGTGCAACAGATGAGAAATGCAGGAAGACTAGATGAAATATTTGATCCTCTTCTACAAGACAAGGGGTTTGGTGAAGAGATGCTACAGGTGCTGGATGTGGCATGCATGTGTGTCAACCAGAACCCTTTCAAGAGGCCAACAATCACAGAGGTAGTTGACTGGCTAAAGAAGGTAGAATCCAACAGAGACACACCAAAGCAAGGGTGACATTAATCACATTACTACATACATTAATTAAGCACAACAAAATGCTTGCTTTGGTCTTTAATCTTGATGTGAATGTACTCCATATAGCAGTGCACAATCACTCTTGTATAGATATCAATGTACTCCCCATATAGCACCTCACAAGTCACAACCACTTTTTGTATAGGCAATTTTTTTTTTTTTTTCTCTTTTTCTGTCTAAACACAAGAAAGTAACAATAAGACACATCCATAATTGTATAGCAACAAGATTGCAACCAGGTAGTAGTGAGCATAGGATTTTGATAGTGAGAATGGATGAGCTTTTCAATAAATGCAAGATTTCTGTTAATGACAAGATACAACCATGAACCATGCATGCCAATATAACCAACAAGTGTTATTTAGTTAGATTAAACACATGGATGAGACAAAGGGAGAAGATACTTGTCTCTCTCTGTAACTATCTGTCGTACAAATTGTGATCACCTTAATAGAAACAGTAGAGAATTCAGGTGAGAGTGTGGAATAAGTCACTAAAGATAAGATTCATAACTCTTATTGGTACTTATCCATTGACAGAGAAGTTCAAAAGACATATTCTAAAGCAAATGAGATTAACTAAAAAGCAGAAAGAGATGCTTCATGCATGCAAAGAGAGCAGAAAGAACTTTGGGAACTTTACCAAGAAAAGGATAACTTTTTTTTTTTTGAAAAGGATAACTTTTTAAACAACATTCTTTGACAAAGTCAGATTCCATCTTATAAAGAACTTGCAGAAATTGACAACCAGAAATATGCAGCAAAAATATATGGGGTTGGGGTGGAGGTGGAAAGACAGCATTTTTGTCAGTATAAATTGGATTCCCACTTGCCCCTTGGTGACACCAATTCACAATCTAAGCTACTTAGTTTAGTCTAACAACCAACAATTTTAGTCAGCTTCATTGGCATACTTCTCATTCATATATTCCTTATGCAATTCTTTCAGACTACGCGGCATCTTGTGAAACAAAGAGAGAAAAGAAAAAAGCTTCATTCAATCTGAAAGTAAAGAAAAATGGTCAACAAATTGTACCTGTTTGAGTGGGTACTTTGTCCAACTGTGCAACTATTGGGTTAGACATTTCTACAAGCATGTGGTGGACCCCAAAAACTCAAAACAAATTAAACCTCTTTTGACGCTAGTGAAAGGACAAAAGAGTAGCATCATGAATAGGCTGTCTAGCTGGCCGGATAAGAAGTACCAGGAGTACTGTGGACCAAAGATTTGCACTCCCAATCCGAGCCAGCGAGCATCTTTACTTGCCTTATACTAAAAATCTTGATGGAATAGTAACTAACGGAATATGTCTAGGCGTTTTCAAGTTTTTTAAAATATCTATTGTTTAGTAAATAGCTGATTGAGTTTGTCGATTTTGGTTAAATAATAATATTAATTGACTGTAAAAAAATGTTTGATAAATTAAATTATATATAAAATGATTTGTCAAGGACCTTGTAGTCCAATGGCACAAAGTCCCTCCCTTATAAGAAAAGATTGTGGAACAAGCCATCAGTGGATGGAAAAATCTGCTTTGAACAGTTTTTTGTATTTTAGTGTTTTGGAGTAATAAATTGTTACAGAAAAGCTAATTAATCAGACACCGTAGTTTAACAAGTCAAAATTGGTATAATGGACATGTATAAAGATGTTAATTTTCCTGCAATTCAACTGATTGTGTTGACCTGCCCTTAACTACTCTTAAAATCAACAAACACAATAGCATTTTATATTATTGATTATTGAAACTAACACATAAAAACATAAAAGTGCATACATTATATAAAACATGTAAATTATTTTCAAGACTCAAGTATATATGCATGAGTGATGTTACAAGTGTATATGAGCTGCAGTCGAAAGCATTATCCATTCTTGAACTCTTTAATTTTTTTTCACCACTTCATGCCCCCAGAAAACCTAACAGACTTTGAAGCTGCCATTAGGCAAAAAAAGGGAGTGGGCAATGAAGAAGATGAAGACTAAATTAAAGGAGAAGGCAGGAGTAGGCGTTAATTAGCTCATATATTTATTTATTTATTTAATCATCTCCGTGGATGTAGGAGCGGAGGAGCATGGCGGCGCAGCGGCGGAGGATGTAAATCCGGCAACGTTGCTCCTTGATCAGAGAAGCACACTTGCGCGTAAACCCATTCTTGATCTGTTTATTATTCTTGCCCATCTTCATCAGTTGTTGAAGATTTTTAATTGATTAGTAGCGGAGAGAGATCGGAGACAGATTGCAGGTGGCCGGCCGGCGGTAAGGGGAAAAAAGCTCTCCGATTTGGAGCTGGACCCTGAGAGCAAAACGGTAGAGGTGACACTGTATTTATACCTACCCCAAACAGACATGATTTACAAGTTACAGTGAACATGGACAGCTAGCATGCATGCATCTTTGAAACAGATGAGGGATTTGCATGGAAAAGTGGAAGGAAATCTTACTTGTTGAGCGGAGGCCAGTAAAGTGTCAAGTCTAACATCTGCCTCTTAAAAATGTGACAGTATCAGAACTAGATAGATCAAGAGGGTGATTGCAAAAAAATCAAACTTGGGCTCAGGTTAAATCGAGAGTGTATTAGTAAGAACTGAACAGTGACATTTTGGTTCAACAGTCATGTTTCACTCACTTAATCACTTCTTTCGGGACAAAATTGCACTTCTTTTATTGAAGTGTTAGGAACTCAATTGCCTTATTTAATCAATTTATTAGGGGTTTATTATATTGACTTCTTTCCAGTTTAATTAACAAATAATTTTAAAACATTGCATGTTTAGAATAGAGATGTAGGCGGTGAAAAGGGTAAGATGCAAGCAATACATATGCATAATAAAGTGTTCATCATGCATGTTGGAACTCATTCCAAGAATGATTGATTGTTAGGTAGAGTAGAAAAGTGGTAAAGAGATGAGAGCAAGAGAAGAGGAAATTTGTTGAATCTGGACAAGGCATGCCCAAAGGATTCGGGAGCACAATATCGCCTTCAATTCGTTCAATTCAATTCACTCGCTTTTGATCCAGAGGGGTGACCAAATATATGGACCAGAAGATCAATTACTTACGAGTGGGAATGATAAAATAATGATGAGAAGATTGGGGAAATATCTGCCAGTTGTTTCCAGGGTTTAATTTTGATCTGATATGATCTTTCCACCAACATTCCTGGGCGCTGGTTTTTGCTTATGTTTTTTGGAATTGAAGCTACGTTTGATCCAAGTACGTTGTATGTCTACAACTTCCACTATGTGTTAGGAAGTAAGCAGCTGTACGGACGTTGACTTATATATGAAACAGACCAATTTTAAATGCTTAGTTCACAACTACAAGGTACACATATATCTGAAAGCCTCCGCATGCATGCATATGGTGCAGTAATAAAATGGGTGTTTAGTAAATGGATGTTAGCAGTTACCTAATTGTGTTAGTGGATTTAACTAGTTGATAACATTAATTAATTGTAGAAAATGTTAGGTAAATTAACTGATTACATACAAAATGACTTTCTCAAAAAACTGATTACATACAAAATGACTTTCTCAAAAAAGCTAATAAAAAAAAAGCTACTTTGAGTACATAGCTTTTTTAATTTTAGCATTTTGGAGTAATAAGTTGTTATAAAAGTTAATTAATCAAATACTCATATTGATTGTTTAACCAAGTCAAACAGTTAATAGAGGTCAAATAAGTTAAAATTGACTAATAGACTAACTATTTTACCAAACAGAGCCAAGGTGTAGGAGTGTAGATAGCTAGAGGTGCCCCGTGAGGTGACGGGTGTAGATAAAGGTGTCCTATGAACAATGGAGGTAAAAGTTTTACTACATCAGATTAGGGGTGTAAACGAGCCGAGTCGAGCTCGAGCCTGGGTAGGCTTGAGCTCGTGCTCGTTAATGGAGGCTCGGCACGAGTTCGAGCTCGATCGAGCTCAAGAACTGATGCTCGAGCTCGCGCTCGGTAATTTTCGTGCTGCTCGAGCTCGGCTCGAGCAGCCCAATTGTTCGAGTTCGAACTCGATTTTGACATTGAATTTGACATATTTAATACTTTTGGTTTAAAATTCAAACTACTTTGTTTTATCCATACATAAATAATAGAAATCGTTTAGAGATTTTGAGTTTAAAATTCTAAATTCTAATTGTTATTTTTATATATTATTATTATATTATATTATATCATTATTATATATTATATATTATATATTATATGGCTCACGAGCCGCTCGACGAGCCACGAGTATAGAATATCTAGGCTCGGCTCGAGCTCGATATTGACCGAGCTCGAGCCGAGCTTTGACCGAGCCACTCATAAGCGGCTCGCGAGCTGTTCGGCTCCTTTACACCCCTACATCAGATAGGCAACTAAACAATCAATGGATTTTATCAGCAGCATTTATGATTTATTGCACTCAAGAGACAAGAGTTTCCTCATGCAAACCAGACTAAAACCAGCAATGTCTGTTATATATATACATCACCACTCAAACAATCTAAAACATGTTTCTTGACTCCATTTCTTCCAAAACCAGGTCTTCTTGTCCACCTGCAGATTCGCACTCAAGATGCGAGTTAACAAGGCCCTTACATGGATGACAGCTAATTCTGTCTTTCCCTCCCAAGCCTTATGGAAGTAACATAGTCAACTGGACTGTGAGCAGCAATTCCAGGAATAAAGAGTCCTACAATCCTCCACAGGATTGATTCCCAGCTTTCCTTGTACGCTGATCCATGTATGTAACCAATCATCAAACCTCTGATCAACTCCCAAACAGCATTCAGGTACATCGGTATCAGGAAGCGTATCCCAAAATAGTTGGGGTTTGGCTCATCATCTACTCTCTAAAATCCAGCAGGAAAACAATTCAAGTCATCCATTGTTTCTGGTATTCAAATTCATCTAAAAGGAATATCTATATATAATTATATATATGCACACACACAATTGATTTATTGAATGGATATATCGAATACCCTTCTGCCAATTGTCATCTATAAAGCTGCTGTGCCAATTAATCGAGAGAAATGACATCTAGTAGGAACAGTTAATAAGGTTGGAAATATATATTGCATGAAAGGAAAAAAGCCAAATATTTTCAAGTGATGCATAATTTGGACAGTTTAGGTAAAAAGGACAGTGAAATGTATATATGCAGTATAAGAAAATAGAAATGCAGGAAGAGAGGTAGTAGGGACTTTACTTGTTCAATGTACACGCTGTTGTAGTAGAGGCACACCCCGAAATGCTTATACAAAAATGTCTTGTCATCATATGGTAACCTAGGTGCAAGATCGTTGCAGTAAACAGTCCTGAAGTACCTGGGAGCGGGTTGATTCAAATGCTCTTCCATGTACCTTCCTAACTGCCTGTTCCCAATCCTGGGCTGGCCGAACGTATGAATTCCCAATAACCGTTTCATCATTTCCTCTTCCTTGTGCATTGCTAGAACTGTTGGGAACAAAATTGCAAGGGCTCCACCCAAGCTATGGCCTGTAACGACGAATTTTGCATTTTCATGCTCTCTGAGTAGACTTTTGAGTTTCATTCTAACAGTATAGTATGCAGAAAACTCTTCTTTGCCCGCATCATTAGGCTTTTTGGAGTTGTGAGATCCATTATTCTCATCAGAATCACTGAACAACATAGATGATGGCTCAGAACTTTCTGCAGAACCAGATTTTGCATTTTTCACGAAAAGTTGTTCTTGGAATGTAGAAACGTCCTTTCTGTTCCCCAAACCCATGGCTTCTAAAAACCCCATGTGTACTTTTCCCATTTCTGGAATCTCATACCAAGAATAGTCAAAATCAGTACCCCAGTCATCAGCATCAAATGGTTCTGTGCCTCTAAAGCCAACCAATATCAAGTTTGCATCTTTCGGCTTGTCAGACAATATAAAAACTTGAGTGGAACTTTCTTGTTGATAATCTATCCCGAACATCAGATTGAGAACAACAACAAAAAAAAAAAAATTGATCAATAAGGCAATGAGCGAACAGTGAAGAAAATCCACTTTCAAACAAGCAAAGAGAAATAAAATATGTCAAGAGGCTTCGGAACTTTCAACAATTCACATGAATTGAATCATATGCATGCCACAGGTTAAATTCTCACCATTCCAACAGTTGTAGAAGTCCACAAAATGCATCTGCTTTTACAAACAAAAATGAAATTACTGTAATTCAGATCTAAGATGAAAAGCCAGTCTAGCAGTGGATTCATGCAAAGTGCAAAGGAACAGGGAAGGACCATACCCTCCAGTGAAGATTTACAACATTCCTAATGACATTTTCATTCTCATAGGCCAACTTTGAAGCCACCATACAGAGGTCCATAAGAGCTCGGTTTCCAGGTTCTAATGGCACATTCTTCTTCCAGAAATCGGGGTCTTCACTCTTGGATAGATCTATACGGCCATCCAAATGCCCAATTGCAGAAATATAAGTTTCAGACCCTCTCTGTGGCATCACCAATTGCCCTGATTCCATGACACGAGACATCATCTATAATCCACACATATATGATTGATGCAAATAGCTTAAATGCAACAGCAAAGTAATCAGCTATCATTTCCAGAAGTGTTATAGAGGCATTTCATCATGCATTTTATGAGTGTAAAACCAGTTTCAAAGGATTTGCAGCAGACCATATGAAATGTGTAAAAACATTATCAAACAATGCCAGAAGATAACTCATGAGAGAGAGAGAGAGAGAGCATTTACCATGAAACAATTTGTAGAGGAAAGCAAAAAAGGTGCCATTGAGAGAGATGAGGTTCAGAATGAACTCCAAAAGATAGCCAGTCCACTCCAATGGTTTCCTAAACAAAGCTAACAACTTTCTCACTACAATGGAGACGAATATCACCCATATATGCGCAGGGTCCTCCCCATCTCCATCGCCACCGCCACCGCCGTCGCCGTCGCCGTCGTAACCAGAAACACCCTGGAGTTCTTTCCTGATGATCCCATAAGAGGAACTTTGAAGAAATTTAGCGCCGCTTTGTTTGTCCCCCAATACACCAAATCTTAAGGCATCCCAAATCCCTCCATTCTCAGGCTTGACTATCAAGAACCTAAACTCCCCGCCGCCGTTACCTTCCATTCCCAGTAAAAGAACACCTCTACACGGTGGCCACTCCGCCCCTTTTTAGAAAGATACAAACTTCGTTGAGCTTCAGATACAATTCACTCAACTGAACCAGATAAAAATGCATATTTGATGATATCAATATAGCACCTGTCATATACACTGTCACGTAACTCTCTCCCGAAATCCCGAATAAAAAAAATGATCGCTTAATTGGATCAATTCCGTGCACTCCAAATATAGTACGAACTTAAAAATAATTTTATAGGTATAATCTACTCAAAACATTTAGTGGTCTAACAAAAAAATAAAAATAAAAAATACACTTGTATGGTGTACGATGTTAATTGTTATATAAAAATATATATTATTTTTATTATACTGAGTGATGAGTTAGATACGGACAATCTAGTGGTCTTAGTTAATATGATCGAATTCAACTTCGGGGACGCATGCATTGTTTTCCTTATAGAAAGTATAGTTGTAGGATCCTAATCCAGTTTTAGCCTTTTAGGATATCGTCTTTATAATTTATTTCGAAAATTATTCTTCTTATAAGATCCATTTGTAATTAATGCCCTTAATTCAAGGAATTTACTTTCAATATTTCAGCGTTATTCAAGGCTCTGAATTCTCAGGTTAATTTGACGTTTCAGAATGATTTAAGAGCTAAAACCTCATTTTATAGAGTCCTAATAAGGTGTTTTAATTACCAACACTAAGTGCTGTCAATACACAATATAATTAGATATACCATACATAATTATCCCGTATTAACATTAACATGAAAGAAATTAATAATATATATAGATTCATTTTATGTAAGTAGTTGGGGTTTGTGAGGCTGTGCATCATCACTGTCTACTTGTTGATTCATGAGTCATGACTAACGTGTTCATTGCTAAAAAGATTGATAGGAACAAAGACAATAATTGACAGGCTAACAACTGCAACATTTTTATGTATGGTAAGAAAAGATGAGTTGTACATTGTGGATATGCATAATGCATCATTATGTAGCCAAATCTTCCACTATTGTAAATGCTCTGTTCCAAATTATTTGATCAAGGCACAAAGAACAGGAGGAAATCTTTCATTCCATGTAAGGTTGAAACGATGAGAAATAAATAATGAAAGAATGCAGCAAGCTATGAACAGCTCTCATGGAATCCAGTAAGCAGTATGATGTAGCAGAGCCAGTAGCAGCAGTGCAGGGGAACAAAGAAAGAGAACCTTTCACTTGAAGAGATGTTACAGAGGCATCATCTGAACCGTTGAATCTAAGGGCTTGGATTACTCGGCATCTGCACTGTCGTTGCCTAGTGGTGCGGTTGTCCTCTTGCTCATGTTTGCTCGTTGCACCAACCGAACCAAGGCCTCAACGACTTCTGACATGGGAGGCCTGAACTCAGGTTCCGACTGTCATGGCATTACAGAGAGCCGTGAGAAGATGGTGGAATGAAGTAGGCAGAAAAGTGTGATGGATTCGACTAAAATGTTATGATTACTGATTAGCATAGAGTTGCCAATTTGGTTTAGTTTCAGCTCAAAGTAATACCTGGACACAGAGAGCAATCACATCAGCAAAGCGGGAGAGGGATTTGACTGGATAAAGTCCTTCAAGTGCTGGATCAACCATCTTAGACAGTGCATCAATGTCATGGAGCTGAGGTGTCGCCCATCGAACTAAAGATTGCTCGGGTCTTGGCCTTGAGCTATGTCAGCAAAAAGATAAACAATCAGAAAAACCGTCATATGTAGATTGTTTTCTTGTCTGTGCGTGTATTTTTGAAATGAAGTACCAGAAGCTCAAATAACGTTACCTATCGAATGGCTTTCTTCCAGTAATAAGTTCCAACATGACCACCCCAAAACTATACACGTCGCTCTTTATGGTATACTGCCCGGACATGGAAACCTCAGGTGCACCATAACCAGACCCTGAATTATGGTTCAAAGCCTGCAGAAATTTCAACGGTTTAAAAAATTGGAATCATTATAGTCAAATACACAGCAGCACTCATGCAATTTTACTGAACTGAAGATGGGTCATAACCAGAAAATGATCCAAACTATGGAAAATAGATCCTATAGAAACACTTTGCAATGTATCTAGGATTCAAATAGTCAAATCACCAACCTGATCTTCATCTGGTATAAGGCTTGCTAATCCAGAGTCTGATAGATGAGGATTGAGCTCCGAATCAAGTAAAATGTTGGAAGAAGTAAAATTTTTATGAACCACTGAAGGTGAGCAAGCTTCATGTAGATACCTGCAAAGAGTACGGTGCTTAAATAAGCTTGCAGGTAAATGTATGTATAGGAAATAGAAATTATTAGCCTTCTATAGGGTATAGCTCCAAATTTTTGTGTATTATAGTTTCAGTGTCTTAAAGCCAAAGCGATGCAAGAATTACAATATGTATACTACTGACATAGTTTTAAGTTTGCTTGCAGGTTTGCTCATGATTCAGACTACTGAATATGACCAGCAAAATGACTTTCAAGTATTGAAGAGATAACTAGAAAATTAATCAGCATTTATGGAATTATAAATGAATCTGAACTTACTCCAATGCACGTGCTGTCCCCAATGCTATCTTAACTCTGCTGTTCCAAGTTAGTGGCTTGGTGTACTCATCTGAGAGATGAAGGAAATCATGCAAAGAACCATTTTTGTGGAATTCGAAAATCAGTAGATACTGTCCATGCTCTGAACAGTATCCTACAAGCTCGGTGACATTTGCATGATGCAGCTGAGATGTTGTAGAAACCACATCCAGAAAATCTTCAGGGTATTGGACAGCAGAAGAATTAATTTTCTTTACAACACGAACCTGCAACAATATCGTATGTGAAGAAGTGCAATTGGTGATGATATATAGATTCCTAATTGGGAGGCAAACAACTCTTGCTCCAAAAGCCACATTGGATACATGAGAATAAATTACCTTCCCATCTTCAAATTGAGCCCGGTAAACACGACCTATTGATCCCTCACCAAGAAGATTTTCAGCACTGAAGCTATCTGTAGCAATCTGCAAGTCTGCAATAGAATACTGAGTAGCACTTATCCGCGCTGTATTGATTTTCTTGGGGGGAGCAATGGGTTTGGGTGATGCATCATATTCATCTAAGCGAAACTCGACAGGTGGAGCTCTTAGAGGTCTTAGATTGACAGCAGCAGGAGTCTCAAACGTTTCTGTGCTCATTGTGGAGGAAGTTTCAAGAGATTTCATCTCTGTTTGGCAAATGGTTGAAAACAGAAGATTATGTAAAGAGCATAATTGCTAAATAGAACACAAAGAAGTTAAACACAATTAAGGTAACATATATTTGTGTTAAATATACCATCAATTACTCACATACATCTTCCAATCCATTAATTGTGTTTTACAAGTAGGAAATTTTTTTTCAAGCATTTCTATCATTAAGATCCGTACAGTGATCTACCAGTGATGATCAACAGAGAAAGGAATAAAATCTAAAATAAAGTTTTGGCTCAAAAGACAACACAATACCTTGTTTCGAAGCAAGAGGAGAAAACATCTCATTTTCACTTTTTTCTATATCAGTTGATTTCCTTCTTGATCTTCTCTTCATAACAAAGAAAGCTACTATTGCTCCAATAACTAAAATGGATATTACAATTCCAGCAATAGCACCACCACCTATACCAGATTTCCCACCACCATCACTGTCATTTGACGCACCGCTTCCAGATTGGCGATTTCTATTGGGCTTGTTTGCAGGTGGTGTGCCAGGAGGGGGTGGGGGTGCAGGCCCCGAGTTCCATGTATTACCGTCCGTTCTGTTACAAAAATTGTGAATCAGACCTGACTAAAGATTCTTTCCAGAAATAACAATTAGTGTAATACAGTCTGAAACACTCACTGTAAACTATTTATGCTTTTCAGCTGCTGAGGAATCCAGCCGGTAAAATGGTTGTTCTCAACATTCCTGGAATAAACAGTAAATGTCATTAAAGCATTTCAACTATTTCATTTAATTGTGTATCAAAGGAAAAAATATATACAACTCACAGCTTATCAAGGGGTAGATTTGCGAGGACATCAATGGTCCCAGTAAACTGGTTGCTCTGCAAATTCCTACACAATGAGAATGTGCCAATGTGAACATTATTTGAATGAAATACAAATAAAGATTTAAAAAAAAAAAAAAAAAAAAAAAAAAAAAAAACTGTATGTACTTACATGTTGCTCAAACTTGTAAGTGATGCAAAACTTTGAGGAAGATTACCCGCCATAGAATTGAAAGACAAATCCCTGAAATAAAAAAAAAGTATTAGGTTGGGGCGTTCAGAGAAATTTCATGGCAAGCAGAAGAGATAAGGTACACCAAGGGTAGTATAATACTTATTCAGAAGAGATAAGGTACACCAATCACTTAGATTTCTAAACTAATTACCCCAAGAACTTGTAGGAACTATTTCCTTATCAATAGTTCCTTATTTCATTAAAAGCTAGTATGGTACATCATGCCATGAATTTCTGGGAAGATTTCTCATTTAGATCTCAGTAAGATGAAAGTAAAACTAATTCAGAAAGAATCCAGATGAAAGTCTCAGTCTTACATTGTTGAGAGAGAAGAAAGAGATCCAAACATATCGTTCAATTGGCCCTGAATTTGATTGTGACTCACATCTCTACAATTGGAAAGAAGAATAAGTATAAGTTGCAAAAACAAAATTCCAAATCAAAGTTTGCAATCAAAAGTGGAAAAAGCGTGATCAGTGCAATTGACTTACAAATATTGAAGAGAAGTCATTTGTGAAATGGAAAAAGGGAGTTGACCGTTAAAACCACAATTAGCAAGATTTCTGCATTGTAAAAAGATTGTTAAGCAGCAAGAGACATGTTCATAAAAGGAGAGCTGAACAAATATGCAGATATGAAGCTTACAGTCTCTGCACATTTGGAGGAAGCTGATAAGGTAACTGGTTCCCAAGATTGTTGTTACTTATATCACTGAAAAATCCCAAGAAACCATCATGTATACAAGTCTAAAAAACCACAACATCTAGCACATAATTGATTCCAGTTGTCTTACAAGTTGGTTACAGATTTCAGTTGATCCAATTGGAATCCCATATTTCCAGTGAGTCCTAGATTTGAAATTTTGCTGGAAAAAAAATAATAAATTGAGAACTAAGTATTAGGGGCAAGAGCTAAAATACATGGTTTTTCAAAGTCAAGGCAAAATGCAGGATGATATGAAGGGAAAAGATGATCACATTTCAGTTACTTTGTTGCCCGAGCAAGATATGCCCTTCCAGGATTCTCCACAGGGGTCACCATCATTTGCTTTCCAGTTTGTTAGCTGAGCTGGTGAATTCAGGCTGGTAAACATACCCCTTAGGACAGAGGCTGGAAATTCAAAAACACAAGTAATAAATGTTATTATTTGTTGTATGCCTAAACATTTTGAAGCAATGGCATTTCTGAATAGTTTTACTTTCATCTTACTATTCCCTGATCATCATGATCAGAAATGTTCAACAACTATCAGACTAGAGTATGAAATATTGAATTTTTCATAGTTAGAAACAAAGCAAGTGGCAAACTGTTCTAAGTTGGAAACACGAATTTTAAAGAAAAAATATATTTTGAATCATTTATTATATCCATCAAATGTGTACCACCCATCATTTGATTCAGAATAATATGACACAGCTCACAAACAAATTCAGCTGTTGGACTAATGATTTGCCAGTGAAAATCATGCAGATTTTTCCTTGTCAGTATCAAAATATGCATCCAAGAATGATAACCCACAAACAAGATACTAAAAATGCATTTGTTCACAAGAGATCACCACTCTGAACTCTCTCTTAGAGTTGCCTGCCCATCCAGAAAAGTATGGACTGTTAAATCTCACTATCTCAGTTTATATTAATCCATTTCACATCACATATACAGACATCATAACAAAAAATTGGCATCTTTACTCATCATCTCCAAATCCAACACGCACTATAGAGTCCAAAAGTGCAGTAGATTGAAGAAAAAGAACTAACCGTCACTTGGATCTGTATCAGCATTAGCTGAGCTCAGCCCATTAACCAGAATGCCAATGAGAAGCGCCGCAATCGCCGCAGATGCCTCCCCCATCATCTTCTTCTTCTTCTTCTTCTTCTTCTTTCACCAGACCCAAACCAGTTCCAGATAGGGAACAGAAAGGCTTTGTCAGAGCTTTTCCCTTTCTTAAATCCAAGGTATATGCAAACCCAGAAAGTAAAGTGTGTAATTTAATGTCTGCACATCACTTTCACTAATAACCTTACGTCGAACAGGTGGAAGGGGTTAATCCCGTGTAGCATATCCACACCCCATTTTCTAACAAAAAAAGCTGGCAGCCTGGCAGCTACGATCCACCAGAAGATTCCACGACGCGGAATTCTCTTCCTGATTTCTTTATTATTATATATATATTTCAGAGGCTAATAAGTTTCACCAAATCCAGAAAACAACGATGGTAACAACACGTAGACATGGCAGTAAAATACGTAGAGCATGGAATTACAGAAAATGTACAGCGATAATGTCGCTGTAAATCTGTAACAAATGATAGATTTGCTTTCGGAAAATGGCATCTATAATTCGATTTTCCTTTTTAAGAAGATCTTTATAGGACGAGAAAGAAAGATCGATCCGTAATCTACTACCCGTATCGGATATATAACTTTCACTAAAATCAGTATTTTGATCACAAAGGATGATATGCATCCAGCTCAACATAAAAAGACATGGAGAGATTATCTCTTTCGGGACAATAAAACTATTTTTATTCATTATTTATTACGTAGTATGAATTAATATGTTTCATCCCGCGTTTGTAAGATACTAAATTTTTTTAGTAATTTTTTAAAATTCATTGATTACTTCCGTCAAATCTATTAAATTTATTTCAATTCAATTCGCATTTGTCAGAGATAGATAAGATCTGCATTTATATAGTAATAATTCACTACCAAAACGATATCAATCTATGCATTTGAAAAGTTGGACTAAGCTTGTAAACTTAGATCATGACACACGATATACGTTATCAATATAAGTAGATAGTGAATAAAGAGTTAATATTTGATATAGCATTATAATACTTAATTAAAAAAATTAAAGGAAAAGAAATCCTTATCTTTTATAAATTAAACGTTTAATAAAAAAAAAAGTAGGAAAAAATCAAATAAAATGACCATTTTGAAATCTCGGAGCTCATACTAATGCAAAAGACTTTTTTTTTTTAATGCTACTAGCTCTATTACATTGTAGTATCTGTTCATATACTTTCTCAACTTACTGAAACACAAAGAGCTAATAATACCTCTACTGAGGCTCGAACTCACAACCTTCCAAATGGAAGTCCAACCCGAGTACCATTAGACTTTAGTTGCTTGATTAGTAAATAAAATAAACCAACACGTGCCAATATAATCATCCTCAAATGATTGATTCAAACCAAAGTTGTTATTTGACAGCTACTAATTAACAACATTAATTCGGAAAAATGGGAATCTTAGGAGTAATATAGCATGATGTATGTAATTGACTGATTAATTTGATAGGTTTTCTTTTTTATTTTCGTTCAACAATTAGAAACTTAATTAAAGATTTAGTTCCATAATTATTATCATAGTCAAATTATTAATAATTTTAATTCCTAAAGTACATATTAATAAGATTTACTCAATATACATAAATAAATCATGATATTGAAATTTCTCGTATAGTACAAAAAACGCGAGTATCACTTGCTTTTTACGTTGCCAATTATAAAATAAAAATGTTTTCAAAAAACTCATTTAGGACTTAGACTTCTAACAGAAAAGCATATCCAAATGAATTTTTATTTAAATTGTCCACTTTTTAAAACCTTCCTATTTTTATCACTCATTCTAAATTTATTCATATTTCTGTATTTTGACCAGAAATTAATGTGTATACGATAGATGACAGCAGTGGATTTTCGGTGAAATTTGGCATTTTGTTTGACCAAACCGACAAATTGGTGGGATATGTGATGGGAATATTTTATTTATTTATGGTAGAATTTGGTTGCTTAAGAACAGTGCAACCTCTCCTATGATGTTTCAACTACACCTTCAGTGATTTTAAAAACAATTTCCACACTATCTATAAATTTATAAACTTGATAAGCATGTCTTAAAATGAAGATCCAATGAATTCAAGAAAAGTTAAGAAATGTTGAGACTTCACACATGGAGCTTCTGAATATAAAAACTGCAGAAACAGATAGACTCAGAGGTAACTGCAAGTTGTTATGGGAGGGAACTGGCACAAGTCTGGGGACAGCTATGCAGCTAATAAGTTTCAAGTTGGAACCAGACCAGAACCCTTCATTTCTTTTATGAGAAGTGACAAAAACCAGCAGGAAGGATCAATTGTAGACCATGTATTTTGGAGTGGCACTGAATTTCTGGTACCCTTTGATGACTTTGTTGACGGCATCTAGAAAGTCCTTCTCTGTAACAGTCTTTCTTCGTGCTCGAATTGCGTACATTCCAGCCTCGGTGCAAACACTTCTTATGTCAGCTCCTAAATCAAAGAGATCCACAAAAGTTGTTTAAAGTATCAGAATTGTTAAATGTTCATACTGTAAATCTGTCAGGGACAAGGTCAAGCATTATTTTATGGTACTTCTTCCTTGCTGTTTCAGTAAACAATTCTATCTGATAATGAGAGCAGATTCACTAGGCTCATATTTACCACTGATTACTGGTAATCTTGTTTCATGGACAGATAAAGCAAATAAAACATGGGAAACCTTACCGGTAGAGTTGGGACAAAGACGGGCTAGAAGTTCAAAACGGATGTCTCTTTCACAGTTCATTGTCCTCGTGTGAATCTTGAAAATCTGTGTCCTGCTTTCCAGATCAGGCAAACCAAACTCGACTTTGCGATCCAACCGTCCAGGACGCAGTAGTGCTGGATCAAGGGTGTCAGGTCTGAAAGAAATAATAAGATGATGTCACAAGCTTGTTGCAAAACTGTACTCCGTAGTTAGGTTATGGTGAGAACTATGAACTATGTCCTAAAGCTGCAAGGCAGACATACCTATTTGTTGCCATGAGTACTTTAATATTCCCACGTGCATCAAAGCCATCAAGCTGGTTCACAATTTCAAGCATAGTTCGTTGAACTTCATTGTCTCCCCCTACACCATCATCAAATCGTGCTCCCCCAATAGCATCTACTTCGTCAAAGAACACAATGCAAGCCTTTTTAGAGCGTGCCATCTGTGATATATGCCAAAAAAACAAAAACAACAAAACTATTCAGAAAGACAGAAACCCAAGTAATGGCAGAAAAATAACTTCCTTCAGTTACATCATAACAAGAATTCCTTTTAACCTGAAAGAGTTCGCGAACCATCCGAGCTCCTTCACCAACATATTTCTGGACTAGTTCACTACCAATGACACGGATAAAACAAGCATCTGTTCTATTAGCCACTGCCCTAGCCAGTAGTGTTTTCCCTGTTCCAGGAGGACCATAGCAAAGAACACCCTTAGGTGGGTCAATTCCGAGCTTCACAAACTTTTCTGGGTGGAGCATTGGCAGTTCAACCACCTAACATTAACATCCAAAATACCAATACAAAAAAAATCACTTCTCAAAGGTCATAGTGGGAAAAGTAATTGAATAAGAGAAAATGAAAATAAAAGAAATTTGAAGTGCTACATCAAAAGTGTCAAAATACAGAAAGTGGCATAAATAAGAAGCTAATTAGAATTTAGAAGAATACCTCTCGCATCTTTTCAATTTGTTCCTTGCATCCACCAACATCATTGTAGGTCACATCAGGCTTTTCCTCAACTGTCATCATGGTGACACTTGGATCAATTTTGGGAGGCAAAGGAATCTGGATTTGATATTTATTCCGATCAACTCTGCAAATATACCAAAATAAATTTAAATCACAAAAAAGTAGCAGGTTCCCTATCTCACGATTCAATCCCAGTAGTAACTTAGAAACATTCATTTAATGTCTGCCCTGCATACAGGCAGTGAGACATCAATCACCCAGTGCTTTAGAATAGCACAACGGAGGGGGGAAGAGAACATACCCAACTCGCATGCCCTCTTCAATATCAGTTGGTGAAACTTTGTCACCCAATCCAACAACAAACTGCGAGAATAAAAACGGTGTGAAATCAATCAACCAGGTGAGACTTTGTCCTTGCTTACTCATTAGCATATACAATTTGTCCAGTTACTCATTAAAATACAAAAGTAAAAGTAAAAAAAAAAAAAAATAAAAAAATAAAAAATTGAATTCCATATATTGCGTAGTGCACTAGTGCATACAGACAGCGATCAGTAAAAGGAAAGCCAGCATACCTTTGCTATTTGCTTCACATTTATCACATATTTTGCATCTTCAGTATTAGGACTGATTATTTTTGTACATCTTGCCACCTGTCCACAAGCACCAAATTATAGCTTTAACACAAAGTATGTGAGTGATAAAAGAACCATGTTCAAATCTTCCCAATAGACAAACCTGAAGGGGTTGCTCCTCCTGCATCATTTGCTTATCAGAAACCAAATCCCATTGGCTTGGTGCAGCTAAGCCAGTGTCAGATTCCTTAATACCTAGAGCAACATAAAAATTATTTGCATAGTTATATAATAAAAACCCCAGAAAAGCAATAGGAAATCGCTGCTATAAGTTTCCTTCTCACTCACTCCAAGCAATGATCCACCCCAACAAGCAACCAAAAGCTATTGATATATTCTCATATTGTATGTACAGGAACCATGAAACACACATTGTATAGGAAAAATATTTAGACTAAGACCAGAAACATACCACATAAATCATTAATCTTTTTAGCCATTTCCTTGATTTCCTTTTCAGCTTTCTTTATGCTTGTTGAATAAGGTCCCAGACCCTGCAGAAAATCATTTAAATATCAAAGCTAGTTACTAAGTTACAAAGGCAATTTAATCATTTTAATGAAACACAGATATTAACACAAAATAACTGAGGGATAATACTTCTATAGTACACCAAATCTAGATGTCATTCTGTAAAAAAGTATCATACTGACTCTACCAGTTCTGAAGTAGCAGACCACCTAAGCTACTGAAAGCCAAGAGGC